ATACGAAACATTTTCAACCATGCAACAAAATATAAATGGTCCTACAAATACTTTTATTTTATTTCCTTCTTATTTTTGTCTAAGCTCAAGGGAGCCAGAGCAGAGGGCTTAAAGGGCCGCATGCGGGCCGCGGGTTGCCGACCCCTGGCATAGAGAAACATTGAAAAGCATCTGTCCCCATGAGTAGTTTATGAAATGCACAAAACCTCACATAATCAAATGTATAAAAAGGGTTGTAGCACAAACATTGTGAAGCCACACGGTAAAACCAGCACCACTGCATATACACAAACAAATACTTCTGCTCATATCTTCTCCTGAACTATGACTTCATGCCATGTCTTTTGTCCTTTGTATCCTTTTGCTTTCATCCGTTTTCTGCCTGTCATTCCTCTATCCTGAGAAAAAGGGACGATTACATCACTGCAGGTGGCGATGTTCGTTTTTAAAGAAGTAGCATTCTTTTCTCAATTTGGCGATCGTCCCAGCTTTATAACCAAAGCAGTCGGCATCTGCTGCTGGGTTGTATCCGCAGAGATTATCAACTCTGAGGCAAAGAGATTTCCTCCAGGAAACAAATTGGTTTATTATGATTTATCAAGTCGAGTAACGTTGATAATTCAAGTGGGAACAAGGAATTCACCAGCAGATAAGATGTCAATAAGGTGATTCGATTGTAAATAAGATGAGCAGAGTTATTGTGTTACATAGGGAATGTGTGGTCCTCTCAAAGGAGCGGTAGAAATTCAAAAATAAATTCATAAAATCAGAAGAGCTTTCAGGGACACATTGCCTCTGCGGGAGTGGTTTATTTAGCCAAATACACGCTTTGCTTATTCCAAGGCATCCTTCACGGCAATTCTTTGAAGAATACTTTAGGGTTCATATCTATCTTGTGAGAGTCCCCACCTAGTTACATTTAATGGTTTATATGAGGCATGCAAAGTGCCAGTGGTGACCTCGTGTGAAAGTGAATAATTTATCTTTAAACTGTCCCCAGATAGTTGCATCTTCCTACTGTAAGCCACACCTCCAGATTTTACTGCCTAACTTGCAGATATTGAGGACTTTCAGGAATACAGTCACCAGTTTAATTTGACACACTTTGCATCTTCTGCCCTCTAATGACAAGATAGTGGCATTTATCAAATTAACTGCTGTCAAGTGCCAGTGCATTCGCAGGAGGATTATGAGTGAAACGCTGTTCATTTGACGGCATGTCTGTCCCCCCCAGCGACGCTGTAGCTGAGCCTTCACTTTAATTTCCACAGCCTCCCACTTTCACTCGCCTACCAGCCCCCTCTCTTTGGAGTAAAATTGTCTCTAAATTGGATATTTAAGGGGAAGTAGGAACTCAGGGGAAGGGGTGCTTTCTTTCAATCGTTTCCTCTCCTTGCAGCCCCCCACTTCCCTTTCCGTCATGGTGTACAGTACAGCCAAGCATATGTATTTTACACCATTTCTGAGGTGCATTTTGGAGATGGGGGGCATCTTATTTATCTCAAGTATCCAGACTTGGGCTCTATAAAAAGCTAAGCCTTTCCAAATCCAACACAGTGTTTATGAATTAGATTTAATGAGGGGGAAGCCATTAAAACACACCATTCGATCTCTGATTACAGACTCCTCTCATCAAATAGCCGGATTAAGAGAGTGTGTTGTAGCGTAACATTAGGATCCTATGGGGCTGGGTGGGGTTAGTGTGGCTTGTGTGTGTGTGTGTGTGTGTGTGTGTGTGTGTGTGTGTGTGTGTGGGGTGGGGCTATATTGTTTGGGTGACAGTCGTCTTTCTATAAATGCCTCAGAAGCAGAGGCAGATTTATGACGGCCGTGCTCTTTGGAAAGCATGAGGGGGGGATGGAGAAGCAGCTCTCACTTTCGAGGATATCTTATGCCTCCTCTGAGAGTCACTCCCCCATCTCTCCAATTCCATGGCTGTCTGTCTATTGCATTGTCTTTGTCTTCTTTCTCTTTATTGCTAGTCATCGTTTTCTTACTTATTATTGTAGTTGTCATAATTTTGTCTCAGGCCTCCTTTGCTAGAGCACTTGTTTCCTTTGTCAGAGAAGCCTTTGAATTCCTTGTATTTGTGAGGGTGAGAGAGTGAGGGCAGCTCATTCATACAGTAGATGTTATATCCATTATGACTGAGAGCAAAAACAGGAAAGACTGAGACACAGTCAAAGAAAAAGGGCAGAAAGGAGGTGGCATGGGACAAAGAATGAACAGTGGCAGAGGGTCTGCTGAGTGGCCTCTCAAAAATGATGACACCCGGTAGTGCTTAAAACTGTTGTACACTTGAAACGGCTAATGAGGCACTTACACAAAAGAGAGTTGCTTTTTGCAGGTCAGATTTAGCTGTCAGTTTAAATATAAATGTTCTTAGCTGACTTAGGAATATATGTTTTTTTTGGGTTTGATATTTTGAGGAATGTGCCTATTTGTTTTTGTTGGAAGTAAAAAACAAAGATGGAAACCTCTCTTGTGTATGCTAATATGGAGCTACAGAGGATTAGCCTAGCTTAGACTGGAAGCAGGTGAAACATCTGGTGGGGCTCTGTTCTCCCGGCGTTTGGACTTTAAACTAAGCTAAACTAATTATCGCCAAGGTCTTACTCCATATTTTCCATACAGATATTTAAATGATATTGGAATTCTCAAAAAAAAAAAGCTTTATGCTAAGCTAAGCTAGTTATCTGCAGGGTCTAACAGCACATTTTACTTTCACTTTTATTTATTTTATACAGATATTTCAGTGATATGGATTTTCTCAAAAGGAACTGATAAACTAAAAGAGAACAACATAATGATTACTCAGTGGTATGGTTTTTTTACTTTGTGATTCAGGCTCAATTTAGTCTGTAATAAAACATTTATTGAGGTTGGGTTCAAAGCAATAGTCTTATCATGTACGGTCTATTCCTTTCTAATTGTATTACTTACCAAAAAATCCCTTCATCAAGCATCACACAGGAGTAGTAATGAGTTGCGAAGAGCTTGGATGTACAGTCTTTGAAGCCCAAAGTTATCTATTATATAGGAAGTCCCGTCAACCGGTCAGCGTCACTTGACACCGTGAAACCCTGATACCCTGCCCGTGATATTGTTTTGGAAAGACCCATGTGTTGCCATGGCAGCACTAGCTATTCCCAGTGCGATTGTATTTTTTCCACCTGCAACAGGAAAAATACCTCCTCCCTCCCAAACACTGTTTCCATGTAAACAGTTTACGAGGGTGTGTGTCTATGTGTGTGTTTTATTTCCTAGTGTTTGAAGCAGACTGAGGTTGTTTTATTTTGCCAATAGCTCCAGGAAGAAATCAATGGGTGCACTGTTTTTTGGAGAATCAAAAAAGGCTGTGTGTGTGTTAGCTTTTCTGTAATATTTGCAGTTTATTCTTTTCCTTGGGGGGTGTTGTATGGGAAACAAGAGAGGAGTAGAAGGTGCTGATCTGCGAACAGCATGAGGAAGAGGCCAGCTGTGGTAGAGGCTACAAATCAGCAGCATCACAAGTGATGTGTTCACAAGACGGATGGAGAGATGAGACAGCGAAAGAGAAAGAAAGAGGCAGTTAGATATATGCGAAGATCTAGGGGCATATAAACAATGTGCGTGAAAGACAGACGGGGAGAAACTGACTCAAGGCGGCGTTAGAAGCAGCGTCTGGGCCAAGATGAGGTCAGACGTGGACAGACTGAAGCCTAGTGTTTGACGTCCACAGGCTATAGTGAGCCATTAACAGACCTGTCAAACGTAGCCCCTCCCCCATAGGAAACTGCTGGTATAAACACTTTATTAAAATGGAAGGCTAGTAATAGTCCTAACTTTTTTGTAATTTAGCAATCCCTCAAAGAAAACCTCTGGATTGTCTAGTTTTAAACATTACATTTTGCTAAACTGGAGATTTTTAGGTTGTAGCTTTTGTTTGTTTTTGTACCTTAGACACATACATTCTCCAGAAGGCACTGTTGAGTCAGAGTCAGGGCTGCGGTGATTCACTGGGCATTGTATCTACAGTTTATCATTATTATTCATGACTGTGGTTTTAGGTCTGTGACTGTGGTTTTAGGTCTGTGACTGTGTTTCCTTTTAACTAAGGGGTGGTTACAGCCTAAAAAATGTAGTTTGGATCCTCAATATTTCTGGCCCCAGGGTTGTGTGGGCACTAAATGCATTCCACACACGCACGCACGCACGCGTCGCACGCACGCACGCACGCACGCACGCACGCACGCACGCACGCACGCACACACACACACACACACACACACACACACACACACACACACACACACACACACACACACACACACGTCACACACGTCACACACAGGGCCTCTATATCGGTGTTTGCCTGGCAGGAGGCCGCTGGTCGAAGCAGGCGCATTGGGCAGCGGCCGCCCACAGGCAGCAGCTAGTACGAGAAGCGAGCGGTGGGTGGGCTGAAGGTCAGACGGGCCCTGAACACACCACCATTGTTCTTTCTATCTCTTTCCTTCACACTTTGACCTGCGAAACATATGTCTGTGTATCTGCGGCTGTATGCCGGCTAAAATATCTCAACGA